TTATTATTATTATTATTATTATTATTATTATTATTATTATTATTATTTTAGTAAGGAGTTTGTCTTGGTACAGGTTTTGAGTACCCCATCCTTGGCTCTGTTTTGAAACCCAGCTCCCTTGGGTGTTGATGGGCATCCTGCTTATAGCAACTTCTCAACCAGATTCCATGTGCCACCTGGCATGTGAACCTGCTCATCTTACTGGCCTGTGCCTCCCTCTCTTTTCCAGCATAAGCACTGCTGTGCTCAGTTGATTACAAAGCCCTTAATTCATGTATTTGGTTCCTATGCCATCCTGCCAGCTTTTCTCACATTGAGCCATAGCCTGGACACTGAGATTGGGGTGCCCAGAAATCTCCAAAGAGCATGGATGACTCAGCATGGCCCTCCTCCACTCCTCAAATACCCCAAAGTACGTGGTACACTGGCATGTTTCAGGAGCAGGGGCAAAGGACAGCACAAAGAAGGGAGAATAGCTTTGTCATTATTTGTCATTTGAGGTCTTCCAATTACCGGACAAGCTGGCAGCCATGAAAGATTACATGAGGTGTGTTGTGCAGAACTTGGAAGAGAGACACAAAGATAGACTTGTGTCCTGTGTGGCTGAGCATCCCGCCCCACAGTGTCTGTTGCTGCCTTGAGAGGAATACATCTTTATGGTGTAGGTATGTTTGAGTAGCCAGATGATAATTGTCCCTCACTAACCTGGGCCTGGAGTTACCTGGAGCCTTAAGTCAGCTGTGGAAGAGTGGACCGGGCTGATGGAACTGTTTTCCTGGAGAAGCTTGCAGTGTTGGAATTCACTCAAGGAGGGTGAAATGTTACCTTTTGAGACAGGAAGCTATTTTTAGTTCTCCTCCTTTCTGTTAAGGACAGCAAAGTTGTGAGCTTTCCAGGTGTGTGGATGTGCCCCTTCTTCCCAAAGACAAGGTTGTCTCTCTGGCAGAAGCAAAGCCGGTAACAAACAAAACCAAATCCTATCAGCTCAGCAGACTGCTGTGACACTGTGTCCTATTTTTCTTATTTTCTGGTAAAATACACGCAACAGATTTTCCCCATTTTTAGGTGCATGACTTGGTGACATTGAAGACGTTTATGATGCTTTGACACAGTCCCCACTACCCATCCATCCAGAACTTATTCATTATCCTCAACTGCAGCCCCATGTTCATTAGTGACACCCTGTCTCCGCCCTCCTGGAGCTGCCTCTCTACTGTCTCTGTACTTCATCCATCCTAAGCATCTCATAGAGGTGAAGTCACATAACTGTTTGCGGCCAGCTTGCTTTAGTTAGAATATCATTAAGGCTCTTCCATGTAGCAGAGTTTCAGAATTTCATTCCTTTTTGAGGCTGAATAATAGTCCATTTTATTTATCTTTTCATCTATCGGTGAACATGTGGGTTGCTCTGACCTTGGGACTTCTGTGAATACATGCTTTTTGATGCCTTCCAAACCTTGCCTGGTCATGTTTGCTTTCCCTCCAGTACATGTGTCTTATTTCCCCAAGTTAATGAGCTCCATGAGCTTACACTTCCTGCTGTTTTCCCCCTTTCTTATTGTTTCCTTGTTTTGGCCTCTTAAACAGGTCAGTAAACACTTGATGCTGATAATAGATAATGAAAGATGAATTTAGGTACCTAGAGATGGGTGGCGTTTTAAACATATCTGTAGGTACATGGGAAAAGTATTGAACTTGTTTTCCAAAGCTCCATTTGACCAGGGGTCAAAATCCAATGGTGTGCTCATTTCAGAGATAACACATTGTCACTGTCCACCTCTTCTTAAGGGTTTATGAATAGAGTGGTAGGGGAGTTATGAATGGGGTCATGAGTCGGGAGAATACATGGGTGCTGGCTGGTCGGAGTATAAATCTGCATGGGCCTTTTTGTTTGTTTGGTTTTTGTCTTGTGTGTCAAGGACATGGGATTCAAATGGCTCAATAATTGGGAGGTAAAAGCTGGGCCTGTTGTCCTGGGAAGCAGCAGAAGAGAAGATACTAAATTTCTTTTGTAAAACTAGGCCTCTGGTGAATACTATTGGAAGCCAAGGGGGCGATTCATCGTGTAGACTACAAATGAATCCCCCAATTAAAAAAACAAAACAAACAAACAAACAAACAACTAATAGTTTTTATTCAAAAAAGCAGGGCAATAAAAGTAAAACTTGGGGATGAGTATGAATTTTGCGCTAGATGTGGTTGAAAGTTGTATGATTTATTATAATTTAAGAATGTTTTAAAACACACTGGTGTTGGGCCATAGGCTTCTGTTGGATTTCTTTGTGCTTAAGATACATGTGGTGTTAGGAAAAACGTCTATCAATGGGGCTTTGTTTAAAGCTTTGAGAGTAAACAGCAACAGGTAGGGAGGTATGCCTTCCAGAAGCCGCTTTGACGAAATTTCACCTCTAGCTATCTGCACACAATCAGGTTTGCCCACAGAGAGGCCCACAATGAGGCTATTCAGGCCGGAAGAGAAAACAGATCCACAATTGCTTACAAACTGTCAACTGCCTCATTGGGAGGGGTTTTCTCCCCCCCCCCAACCTCTCTTCAGGCCAGTTACTCTGGATTATGCAGCCACTACTAGCACAATATTTATTTTAAAGTATAAAAATCTATTTGCATGTATTTGCTAGTAAAAAAAAAAAATCCCTTTATTTATGGTTCTGTTAGAATTTACTATGAAACCCAAAGCACTCTTGCCCACTCCCTTCTGCCTCTTTAGCACTTCAGTGCTTACTTCTCTGGGTGGTATCTTCTGTTAAAATGTCAAATTGGCAACCGGTCTGTTGTTTCATAGCTAGTCTTGGCTCTATTGAGGGAGTTCTTTGTCCTCCTTCCTCCTCCAAAATATAATTTGAAATGTTGCCTTGTAGAGTCCTTTCCACGGCACACCAGTTCACACAAAGGCATCCATCTACCCCTTGTCCCACTCGGTGGACAGTTCCCAAACCTTCCGGCCATTTCTTTTTCCTCTTCAGCATTTGTCCTGCCATCCAGAATAAGAACTGGCTTTGTTTGGCCTTTAGTAAAGGCTTGGGGTAGCTGAGTTTGCCTGGCTCTTCAGCGGCTTTTTACAAGTGATTTCAAGGGTTGTATTTGTCTTTCGCTTAGAAACTGTATCAACTAGTTATTGTATATGATAACCTGATTTAAAAAAAAAAAAAAAAAGCCTTTCAGGAACACAAGCCAGTGGGAAGCAGATGTGATTCTTAAAGTGCTTTACGGGGGTTGGTGTGTACCAGGTGATAATGGTCAGCGCCCCTCCTGTGGCCTTTTTCTGGGTTCTGTCCTTGTTCAGGGCTTTACAAACCCACACGTGGGTAGCCAGTTCAGTGAACTCCTCCTGGCCGTCTGTGCCTTTCAGGCAAGCCTCCTCTCCTACAGCATTCCGAGAAAACACGGGTTGCGCCATCTTTTTTTACTGACACCTCCCCCCTCCCCCGTTTGTCAGTAGCTTTTGATTATTTTCTTTAAAGGCTGGCCGTGTATGGTGACGCATCGAGCCAAACTTCCTCATCCCAGAAGCCTGAGTGCACACCAACAAGGGATTGACCCAGCTGTGCTCTTGCCTTTCAGACCTGACTGAAGAGCGACTCGGGGACAGCAGTTCAGTTGACAACGCCGCGGAGGCCTTCAGTGACAAAGACGCCGACCAGGGGAGCTCCCCAGAGGTTGTCAAAAGCAAGAACTGCTTCACTCCGGAGAGCCCCGAGATCGTGTCTGTGGATGAAGGCGGTTACGGCGTGCAGAAAAACGGGGGCAACCCCGAGAGCTGCCCCGACAGCCCCAAGTACCACGCCGAGCAGAGCCACCTCCTGATCGAGGGCCCGTCGGGGACCGTCTCTCTGCCCTTCAGCTTGAAAGCCAACCGGCCCCCCCTGGAGGTGCTGAAGAAGATCTTCCCCAACCAGAAGCCCACGGTCCTGGAGCTCATCCTGAAAGGCTGCGGGGGCGACCTGGTCAGCGCCGTGGAGGTCCTGCTGTCCAGCCGCTCCTCGGCCGCTGGGGCGGAGCGGACGGCCGAAGAGAGCCTGGTGCTGCCCTCCAGCGGCCACATCTTTGAACACACGCTGGGCTCCTACCCCATCTCTTCCTCCAAGTGGTCGGTGGGCTCCGCCTTCCGGGTCCCTGACACCTTGCGCTTTTCCGCGGACTCTAGCAACGTGGTCCCCAACCCCCTGGCCGTGCCCCTGCAGCACCCTTTCCCCCAGCCACCCCGGTATCCGCTGATGCTGAGGAATACTTTGGCCAGAAACCAGTCGAGTCCCTTTTTGCCCAACGATGTCACCCTCTGGAACACCATGACGCTGCAGCAGCAGTACCAGCTGAGGTCCCAGTACGTCAGTCCATTTCCCAGTAACTCCACTAGCGTCTTCCGGAGCTCGCCTGTGCTCTCCTCCCGCACCACAGAGGACCCTCGGATCTCCATCCCCGACGATGGGTGTCCAATCGTGACAAAGCAGGCCATCTACACAGAGGATGACTATGACGAGAGATCCGACTCCTCAGACTCTAGAATACTCAACACGTCATCCTAAAGTGTACCCGTGGGTGGCGATGGTGACATTTTGTGTGTGTTGGAACCCTGGGCCCCCCAGGAGAGTCCGCTAACGCTGTATACTCTTTCCTCCTGTTTGACTGTGCTTGATAGTCTATACATTAGCAATAAAAACATAACTTATTTAATTTCCTGCACTTCACTGGAAAATGCCAAATAGCTCTGCTCTGTGGATTTAGTGCCGAATGTTGTAAATGAGTGTAAGGGTAAGGACTGCCTGGGGAGGCTGGGCCTGAGGGAGATTTATTTTGGGAGACAGCTTCACTCCTAAATTCAACCTGGAACATTAAGTGAAATAGTACACTTGAACGCAATTTTGTAAAAGAGGACTCCTCAGGACGCTGGAAACCCTAGGGAGGGGTTCAGTTGCCAACCAGACTCTGAACAGGGACATTCTAAAGAGAGACTGCACTTCAGACTAGAGCGGACTGCCACAAGCTCTTATTTAAGCTTGGACAGTTTTCAGAGACAAACTCCATTAAGAATTATTCTTTTCACATGGCTGAATCGAAACACGTGTAATGTCAATATCAAACCAATCACAGCTGTGAACTGCATGAAATGTATTGTGAAACGAACACAAGATTAAGCTTCGTCAGGTTATTGTAGCATGCTAAGGACTCTAGAAAAATAAACTAAGGAGATGATCTTGGTTGATGTCTTTTGTACCTGTGGAAGGAAGACCTAAAAAAAGCTTCCCACTAACGCATGGGTCAGAAACCCAAGATAGCATTCAATGGACGTGTCCTGGACCGGGCCTACCCTGTAGTGGTGGAGCCTGGCACTCCAAACAATAACAAGATGCAGTAAGGCATGAAAAACTACCAACAGTGTGTACAGCTGAGCAAGAGAGGGTGGGTGGTGTGCTCAGCAGAGACCTGACACAGAAACCACTGGGCACATGAGGCACACGAACACCGTTGCTCCCGGAAGGACGGCACCCTCACGTTCAGAATATAGGTGTGAGTGCCTCCATTTTTATCTGGCTCATTCTGGGATTAAGGCAAAGCATTCAGGGCTCCCCTCCCCCCAATTCTTTGGAAAAGCATTCTCGGGCTTGCTGTATGTGGCGAACTTCTCACTCAGAAATTTCAAGTGAGGACCCCTGCCATGACTTCCCGTTCTCATTCTTCAAAATGCCTGGGAGGGGTGATGGCTGCTTAGGTCAGGCAATCATGTTATGAACCTTATGAATTGGGAAGGAAAAGCACATGAGTCAAAGCGCAGAGGCGTCTAAACAAGGGAAGTGCAGGCAGCATGCTAGGCAGGCAGAAGCTTTGAGGGGCTCCTGAGTGACAGGGGAAGGACAAAAATTCACCCCAGACCCCTTCAAGCCCAGCCCAGCTCCGGGAAAAGGGTCTTATTCCAAAAACAATCTTGTCATTTTTGTTTCCACAGGGTGCCACTGGAATGGGTAATCTTTGAGTGAAAAAAAAAAATTCTTTGTCTTGATTGGACTATTATGTATTTCGTGGACATAGTTACATGCCAGAGTCCCTGAAAGTAAATATCATTCTGTAGTTGAGGCTGTGTGTAAACATTAGTGCTTCCAGGAGGGAGAACGTGAAGGAGAGAATAATTTGCCCTTTTGAGCTTTTGTTTAACGAGCATCCGTGATGACCTCCTATTTGAACCAAGCTGTTCTGAAGCCTGCCTCTAGGTGGTCCTTCTCCAGGTCGAATGGTCCTAGGTGGAACGAGAAATGGCTGATGTGTATCCTCACAGCTGTATCATCAATGTCTTCGGCTTCTTTGATGGTGGACAGCAAAAGACACAGTTTGCTTGTGAGCTGGTGGAGATCTGTGCCACCCCCGCCCCCATCCCCCGCCATGTTATCTTTCGAAGAAAAAACTGTTTTGGCGAGAATAGAGTGGGCAGCGCGCCTGAGTGAGAAACGGGTTGCTAGGCTCCTATATCCCGTTCCCTCTGCATTCCTAAAAGCTGAGCCCCTCTGCTTAAAGTGCCACAACCTCTTAGACGCTGACCCAGCTCTGAGGCCGTCCTGCTGCAGCACGCAGGGCTCAAGGACTCTGGGTGCACCTGCCCACAGCACTTGGTTTCTCTTTCCCAGCAGAGGAACACCCGGATGTCAGGGTCAGGAGGACATCGCCCCACTTGCGGATAAACTCTGGCCATCACACAGCAACTGTGGACTTGGCGATACTCACCATCTATTTGACCCGGAAACCCGTTCAGTCTGGTTAGAAGTTGGTTCACATTGAACTTCAGTCTCTCCCCCATCCCCCCTTCTGGTGAGGTTCTGTCTACTCCTGATTTTAGTTAAATGTTTCATTCATCTAAGATGCTGTTAGTTGTGCTGTGATTCTTTGTGTCTCAAAGCAGTTTGTGCCCCCTAGTGCTACGCTTCCAAGGCAAATTCCTGAACAGATTCTGACTTGAGCCAGAGTCTCTGGCTGTTGGTTAGATGCTGTACGTTTGCATTATCTTCCCCAGGTAATTTTTGAATTCGCTAGATTAGACAATTTTTTTTTCTTCCTCTCATGGGTGGTTTTCTTTTCAGATCTGTGCCGAGTAGAATAATCCAGGGATGTAAACTCTATGGCTGAGATGTCCAGTCTACCCTTACACGGCAAACCAAACTGTGTAAGCACCTGAGGACTTGCCCTATGTCTAAGGCACACAGGGTCAGTCCCTGGGTGGCTACACATGTGGAGTCATAAATGCCTGTTTCTGGAAACCTCCCACTGGTAAAGGACCAGAAAATAGCATAAATATGTGGGGCCCTTTCTGCCTGGGAGAAGGAAGGCTGGTCTTTTCAGTGCTGTGGAACCTTCTAGTTATTCCACTGGTGGGTGACATCTGAGAATAAATGTTAGTTCCCCTGCTGCTTAGGATTTTGAAAAAGCAGCAGCAATCTTCACAGTGGGGTGAAAGTAGTTTCATAGATGGATCCGGAGGCCAGGTATATATGTGCTCCTAAGTGGCCAGGTAGGTAACAGGCACTGGGGAAGGGGAAAAGCAGGAGTGATTCTGGACCACTGATGGGAGTTGTTAGGTTAGCTAAAAGACCTCCAGTGAGTCATTTTACATATTTAAATTTTATGAAAAGAAACTGCAGCGGGAAAGAGAGTGAGAGATGCAGCTCCCAGATAGTATAGGATCTGCTTCTCAGGGACTGCCCTCTCAAGGTCCTCCTGCATGCCCTGTGTATCCATCTGGACAAAGGCAGTGAGAGGGGGCCATCTAGGGAACATTTGTCGGCTGCCCAGCAAACAGGCTCCGGCTGCATTTGAACTGACGTACTTGAAAAATGAACTTGATTCCACTGCATACTGTCTCAGTGATTCATTCTTTCTATGCGTATTTACTCAGCAGAAGGAAGTCTGGAAGAAGATGGATGCTAAATTTATATGTTAATTTTAATATTGAAGCTATCCTATACTTGAAGAATAAGATCAATGCTTCAATTTCATTTCTTATGTGATACTGAAAGTTGTCATCGCTGGGGGAAAAAATCGCTTCCGAATGCATTCTCCCCAAATTTCAATCTTCCAGGGCAGAGCAGCCTCAGAAGAGGCAATCTTGCCTTTTGCTGATGGTCCATGCAGGGCAGGCTTAGGGGTTCCCACAGTATCGCTTACTTTCTCAGTGTCAAGGGGAAATAACAAGGGTAGTGGCTTGTCCTTAAATTACAATGGCGTTTATTTACCAAGTGGATGGTGAGAGTTGACTGGGATTGCTGAGCTGTGTCACGAGTTTCATATATCCCACAGGCAAAGCCACCGGACTTAGCAGAGAGTAAACTCAGCAGTTGTTAAGAAAACTTAAACCTCCAGAAGGTCGGAGTCATTGCCTGGTGGTTTCTAGACCACGACCTCAAACTCTCAGTGGGATTTAGATGAAAGATTCCAGAGGTCCATGCAGAGTTGTCTGGTGGTGGTGGTGGTGGTGGTCGGGGAATCTCTGCTTCCCAGCCCAGGATGGCGGAACCAGATGTGTGATGGCTGCTAGAAGGGAGAGTGGAATGGCTGGGCTGGGCACGCTGCTCAGCCTGAAGGCTCCTGTGAGAATTTCAGGGGGCTTTGTCCTCTAGCAGGCTGCTGGCTGGGCACTGGCCTTCTTTCAGCTTCTACCTTAGGGAGAGTTGGCTGCCATAGACTGGAGATCTTTATTCTGTGGATTGCATCTAGACCAACCAAGGAGGCGAGTGGGGTACTTAGTCTGAATTAGTGGCCTTTTCATGTTTTTAGAGAAGAAAACATGCTGTTTGTAGAGGGGACATTTTGTTTCCTGTTCTCGTCTCCTCCCCTTTCCTTTTACTTTCCCTTCGTTTCCCCCCCACCTCTTTTCACCTTTCTGTCTGAGATATAGTCTTGGTAACTATCTTAGTTCCATGCTCCACCCCTTTGAATCAGTCTCCTGAGCGATGGTGTGTAGGTGTGTAACACCACGCCTGGCTAAGGAGCCTTTCTCTGCTTTGCACAAAGGTACATTGTTGGCCTACTTAAACAAACAAACAAACAAACTCCTTTACGTACATTTAAAAAGATCTCCCTTTCTCCCTATTCCACCCAATCACTTCTAACACCCCAACACCAGGCAGGAGAGAGAAAGGGTTAGTGGGAAGGGAGCGAAGTTCTGCTTCCTGCTGGTTAGGGTCCTGAGGTTCTTTGGAGCCAGTCCAGTCCTCATTTCAGGAGATCTCCAGCTTCTTGTTTCACTGCATCAACAGCAACAGGAGCCGCAGAAGGGAAGCAGCAGCAGCAGCAGCAACCTTGTTCTTTTTCTGATCTCCTCACCCTCTGGGCTCTGGCATTTATTCTCTCTCCAGAGTCCTCACATTTAAACTATCTACAGCTGGCAAAGAACCCCTCTCAGAGGCTGAATGAGGCAAATAGTCTGCTGCTGTGGACCATCTGAATCAGTCCCACACCTGGGATTAAAATGAAATCGTGTTTATATCCACAACAGTACATCAACATCTAGTAGCCGCCCTAGGAAAAGATGGGGAGAAAGAAAGAC